AGCAGGAAGACGGGGGCGGGGGGGAATGACAGGAGAGGTGAAAGCAAGACTCCACGGGCCCTGTGACAGCCTTCCTGGCTGACATACCCAGGTTCCAGAAAGGGGACTCGCAAAGGGTGAGGACCTTGGCGAGTTTGGACAGGAGCGAGCCCTCGTAAGCAAACACTGAGCACAAAAATAATTCCCATTCAAAGCACGATTTACTGTGGGCCTGGCTGGGCCTTCCCAGCACAGAGCCCTTTTCAAAGGCTCCCCTTTACCTCTGAATGTGGCAGGGGGAGGGGAGCACAGGCATGGCGGTATTTGAATTCCACGCTTTCCCAGAGGCTTCCTGGCAACCTGCCCAATAAAGGGTGATCTCAAAGCGCCCCCAGAGAGGAGTAAACCTGTGTAGAATGTTAGCTCCGCAAGGGCAAGGATGTTAGGTCCTCTGGAGAGTAGGCCTCTCACGCAAACACTTATCCGGGAACAGCTCACTCAGACCCATACCATTCACGGCGTGCCACTGAAGACTTCAGAAGTAAGCATTGTTGCTGTTATTGTCCCATTTCACAGATGGGAAAACAGAGGCTCGGAGCCGTCAAGTGATGACTATTTCTCCCAGCTCTAAATCCTTCCTAGATCCATCATGTGGCCCAGAATCTGCTAATTATGAGCGTAGCAAAGTGTTCAGAATGGGGTTCTCCCCACTAAGGAAAGACAGGGTGAGGAGGAAGCTGGAAAGGGGGACGCCTCTCAAGCCCAAGCAGCACTGGAAATCGCCCTTCATCACCATTGACCCCAATACTCCCGATCACAAAATCTGAGCTGGGGGGATAGAATGCCCTCCCGGGGCACGAGCAGAGAGCAGAGAGTGGTTAGTGAGATCTGCTGGCTTCACTTCCAAGAACAATCTCCCCTCGGCCCACCCTACCTCAACTGCAGCCCACCCTACCTCAATTCCAGCCCGCCCTACCTCAAATTCCTAATCAGCCTCCTAGTTAGCCCCTTCCATTCTCGCTCCTCTCCAAACTATCCTCTATTAGCAGCCAAAGCGACCTCTCTTTTTTACATTTTTTTCCCACTTACAAAAGTAATTCATGACCATCATAGAAGACTGGAAAAATCAATAAAAGATGAAGGAAATAAAAGTCACCCCATTGTCGAGCATCTGGAATTAGCTCTGTAAACATTTCGAGGCAGCCTCTGAATCTTTTTATGTATGTGTGCAGGCTGGGCATGTGTATACATACAATTTTGTAGGGGCGCCTGGGTGGCTCAGTCTGTTGGGCAGCTAACTTTGGCTCAGGTCATGATCTCATGGTTCGTGGGTTCAAGCCCCATACTGAGCTCTGTGCTGACAGCTCGGAGCCTGGAGCCTGCCTCAGATTCTGTGTCTCCCTCTGTCTCTGCTCCTCTCCTGCTCACGCTGTGTCTCTCTCTCAAAAATAAATAAACATTTAAAAATTTTTTTTAATTTTTTATTAAATTATAATTATCTGTACAAAATTAGTGCTGTACCATATAGCTTTATATAGGTTCTCTTACACTTTTTATTATAAACATTTTCCAAATTATAAGCTGCTCTTTTTTTACCTACGCTTTCTGGGTTTGCGTTTGTGTGGTATGGTTGATATGTGCACTATACTCAGAAAGGACAAACAACATTCTGGAGCCAAAACACCATCTTTCCTCCATCCCAACCCACCCCTCCCCCCATCATCTCCCTCCCCTGCGGGCAACTCTGATGACCTGTTTCTTGTATACTAAACAATCTGTTAAAATCATAAATCAGATCAAGTCACTCCCCTACTTAAAACTCTCCCACGTCTCCCCATCGCTCTGCCCATAAAATGCAGGCTCCTCACCAGTCCTACCGCGACCTGTGTGACCAGGCTCTTGCCTTCCTCTCATTTCTCCTCCTCTGGCCACATTGCTGTTGCAAAATTTGATCTGGCCTCAGGGATGCTTCATCTGCTGTTCCCTCAGCCCAGAATCCTTTCTTTGGGTCTTGGAGGCTGGCCTCTTATCCTCAGGGCTCCCGCTCAGCCATCCTCCACGCAGGATGCAGGGCAGGCGGCTTTCACTGGCTTCCAATCTAGGGCCACCCCTGCCTGCCTCCAAGCGCACATCCTCTAGCGCGGGGCCCTGTTGTGTTTCTTCCACATCACACAGGGCCTAATGTGGTCTTGGTTACTTATTTCAAGTTATCTCTTGCCTCCCGCTAGACCGAAGGCTCCATGAGGGCACACACACTACCTGTCTTGTTCACCCCTAAAAGCCACGCTGCCTAGCACGTAATACGTTTTCAACAAATTTCTATTGAAGGAATGAAAGGGGGGACTGAGGCGCCGGTGCTGGTTCTCATCACTGAAAACAGCCCACGGGTAGGATCTCCAAGCACTAACCTGGCCACCGTCCCCCATGCCCGGGGTGGGGGCTAGGTAGGGTATCAGAGAAAGAGGAGCCCATTGTCTGAGGCGGCATCCACCTGCTGCTTTCTTCCCTCCTGTCACCCAGCTCATCCCTTACTGGCGCTGTGCATTTGCAGAGTGTCCAGAATCAGACCAGGGGCCTGTGACAAACCCAAACTCCTAGAAAATACTCTAACTGCAAGTGCAAAGTTGAAGATGAAACTTCACATCCAGTCCTCCCAGGCAGCCGTGATATTCCCGGTTCCCAAGTGAGCCCCAGCAGCAGGTGACCCAGACGCTGCCCAGGGAGCGGAGCTCCCCCAGGAACAGCCTAGCCCAATCCCACCTGACTCCCCTCCCCTACGTACCCCTTCCCTACGGGGCCCCAGACACCTGGGCTCCTCTCTCCAGAAATTCACCCAGCTCCAGAGACACAAATGCACATCCAATCCTGAGCCAGCAGCCAAAGCCAGGATCCTCAGGGGACAACCTTCCTTCCTGGGGCCTGATTTCCACGGAGAGAAGACTGCAGGTGGGCCAAGATTAATTTTTAAGAATGAGGAAAAGGAGGGAATAAAATGCTTTTCATAAAAACTGTGAAATAATGGGGGGGAGCATGAGGGGAGGTGATAAAAGACTTAACAAGACGGAAGTAGGCAAGGAGTAGGGAGAATCAGAAAAGTCAGTGTTAGGAGAGGGTGGGAAGAAGGGAGAGGCTTCTTCTCTCCCAGAAGTGGACAATTGTTATAATGGATTAAAGGAGCACAATCCCAAAGTGCCCTTCTGGGCTTTGTACAGTTAAGTCATAATGACAATAACATCTGACATTTCTCCAGCACTTACTATGTGCCTTGTTCTTTGAGACTCAGACGAGCAAACTGAGGCACAGAGCAGTAAGATTAAATCACTCAAGATCAAGTTGCCGGTGGCAGGATCTAGGATCTACCTCCAGAGCCCCTGGCTTTTAACCACTGAGCTAGTGGTCCCACTGGGGGGAGGAGGGGTCCCTTTCCTTTTGGAGTTCATGCCTCCCAAACCATTATCGCTTAACTGATTATTAGATGCCAGCCTCAAAGATATGTACATAATTCTGCCCATTCCGCAGAGGGGAAATCCTGTAAAAGTTAAAGGACTCGCCTGAGCTCATGCTGCCCATAGGAGGGGAATTAAAACCAAAGTGCGCTGAACCCAGCATCTGGAGCACTACTTCCTAAGGGAGCACTACTTCCTAAGGGAGCACTGTAGAAACCCGATCTCGAAACTCCGCCCAGAACCGCAGCATCTCCTCTGGCTTTGGCCAGACCCCTTCGCCAGTGCCGCGGCGCCCTGCCCGGAAATTCCCACAGAGTCACAGCTAACTTCCCAGGAAAACTCCTCGGCTTCCTCCTAGCCCCTGTCACGGAGGCGGCAGCCAAGAACGCCGCTGGAGTCCTTGCAGCTGCCGACGGCCCTCCCGGGGGCGGGAGCCGCCGCTCGTGCGCTCGGGGTCCTCCCGGAAAGGTCCAGGGCTGAAGTTCAAAATGCACTTCCCGCCCAGGCCCGGCTCGCGGCCCCGCGCGGGACTCTCTAGCAGCCCCCACGTCTCTCGCCCTGCGGGGCCCCGGATAAGTCACGGAGCCCCTCCAGCCTGCAAGGCCAGGCGGGCAGCTGGGAAAATCCCGCGGGCCACCCCGACGCGTCCGGGGACTCGCAGCAGCCGACGCGCGCGCACACGCGCGCACACACACACACACACACACACGTGTGGGTGTGCGCGCCCGCTGGTGTGTGCGTGTGTCACAGCCGCCGGCGTGTGTGTGTGTGTGTGTGTGTGTGTTTACGTACGGAACGCGCGGGGTGGGAAAACAATGGCGAGCCGCTGGGAACAGAGCGAAGGGCCCCCTCCCCACATCTCCGCCTCCCTACCCCCAGGCAAGATTCGCTTTGCCGGGAAATCAGGATGCGGAGATTCACCTCCGACAGCCAAGGCGGGAGGTGGGGGCTGGGAAGGAGGAGGCCAGGGTGGGAGGTGGGAAGGGGTGAAACAGGAGCGGCCGGAGCAGAAAACAAACAGGATGCAGCGCCCGGCGGGTCCGCTGGGGTGCGAACCTGACAGGGTGGGAAGGACTGCGTGGCCGGCCCCACGCACCGCACCAGCCAGGGCGGGGGTGGGTCTGCGTTTGGGCGCCCGCACCCGAGTCCCACGCGGGGCGCGCACAGGTCGCCTCCGCTTCCCGCTGGGAAATCCTCAAACTGGGCGCCTAGACAGGCTGGTGAGAAAACCCCAGTGACCGTGCCCTCGGCCGGTCGGTGAGGGGGGGGTGCACCCCAAGCCTGGCTAAGCGTGGTGCGCACAGCCCCCCCCCCCTCCACAACCCGCCAAGGCCTTACCGGGCTGCCACCCCTCTGCGGAGGGACCCGGGTCTGCCCGAGAGGAGCCGCCGCTGGCCGGCGTTTTGAGGGGTAGGTGGGGGTCCGTTCCTTCGCGAAAAACTTTGCAAAGGATCGAAACTCGCAGAGACGAGAGCCGGCGTGTGCCCAGAAACGCGGGGGCGCGAGTGTCAAACTTCGGAGGGCTGGGGAGCGGGGCGCAGCGGCGTGCTGCGGGCGCAGGGGGGGCGCACTTACTACTCGGCCAGGCGCCGGGCTCGGGGCTCCGCGCTGCTGCTCCTGCTCCTCCTCCGACCGGGTCCTCGCGGCTGGCAGCCCGGGCTTCCCGCTCACATGCCCCGGCGATGCAGCTGACCGGCGTGCGGGGCTGGGGCGGCCAGGCTGGGAGGAGGCACGCCCCCCGCCGTGGGCCGGGGAGTCGCTCGGGGCTCGTGGCCACCCTGGGTCCGCGCCGCACCGCCGGCCGCCGTCCCGGGCGGAGAGCTCGGTTCCGGCCGGGCGGCGCCCTCCGCCGAGCCAGGCCTCTCTCTGCACTCTGCCCTCTGCCCTCTGCTCGCGGCCGTCTCCCTGCCTTCCGCGGTCCTGCTCCCGGACTCGCCGGGACGTTGCGCCGGCCCGCCCGCCCGGCTCTCCGGCTCCGCGCGCGGGCTCGGTCCCGAACCAGGGCCTCGGCGGCTGGCCGCTGGGCCCGGGCTCAGACCCGGGCTCGCCGCTCCTGGCCCGGGGTTCCGGGACCCGCCACTTGCACAGTTCAGTTCAAGCCGGGACCGGGAGCAGGGCGCTCGCAGCTCGCTGCTGCGAGGCGACTCCACAGCCTCAGAGGAGAAAGAGGGAGGGAGACAGAGAGCGGGCAGGGGGAGGAGGAAGGAGGAAGGGTGGGGAGATGGAGAAGGAGGGAGGGACAGAGTTCCCTCCTCCTCCCTGCAGCCAGGTCCATCCAGGCATCCACAGCTGGAAACCTCTGTCGGAAAGGGGAGGGCGGCGGGGGTGGGCGAGAAGAGAAGAAAGAGGTGGGTTCCGCCCCCTCCCACTGCTCAGGTATGAGGGTCGCTAACCGAGGATCTTCGCTCCTTGAAGCAAGACCCAAGACGTTGTCCATCCAACTCCGACCTCCTCACCCTCCAGCCAGCCAGGATTTCGGGTTTCAGACCCTGTTTCTGAACCTCCCTTAGGACCCTCACCCCACCTGCAGCTACACTGCTTCCTAATGCCTCAGACCATTCTCGAGTCCTGGCATCTGGTACTCTCTCAAGTGCTCTTTTTTTGTTTTTGTTTTTTTTTTCTTGAGCTGTTCTATATAAAGGAGTGGATTCCTTTAATTCAAAGTACTTATTAAGTGCCTACAATATGCCTGGCCCAGCAGCGTGCTGGGGACACCAGGATGAATGAGAGGGTGCCCTGCCCTTTCTGGGTTCCCATTCTGTGGAGTAGACAGATGAGTGAATGTGGAATTACAGAGAAGTGGAAGAGTGTCAAGACCAGACCAGCACAGGGGGCCTGGGGACCACTGAGGGCACTCAGGTGCAGGGACAAGAATCAGAGTCTTCTTGGGAAGGTGTTCTCTGAACTGGGTCTCAGAAAGTAGAGCAGGTGAAAGGAGTAGCAACCGGGACACCGCAGAGACCCGTGTGCCAACCGTGTAGGTGGCCAGCGTCTTCTCAGCAGGTGATGGTCAGCCAGGCACATAAGACCTTCTGAGGGCTTTGGATTTCATCATTCCCCGCAGCCTTCCTTACCTAACTCCTTTTATTCATCTTTTAGGTCTCAGCCCAGATATCGATTCTTCCAGAAGCATGACTTGACAGCCCAATCTAGGTCGGGTGCCCATCTCGGTGTGGGCTCCAGAAGCCCCACCCCCACCCCTGGTTGTAGATACTGTGGTCATTGTTCATTTGTGTGGCTCCCCTCACTGGACTGCAAGGTCCCCGAGAGCAGAGATGTCCGGCTCGCGACTACATCCCTGGTGCCTAGTGAGGGCTTGGCAAAGAGCGGGACCTTGACAAAAAGTTGTTGATCCACTGGTCGATTGAAGGGAATGGGGAGTCACTGAGGGATTCTAAGGAGGGGCTCTAATGAGATCAGTCTAGCGGGAGGCAGGGAGGCTGGTGACCAGACAGTGGTGGTGACCAGGGTAAAAATGACACAGGCCTGAGGCAAGCTAGGGAGAGGGAGTGTGGAAAGAAGGAAGGGTGGGGGACGTGAGATGTGAGGCGGAAAGAGTCAGTATTAACTCTAGTGTATGGCTTTTGGATGACTGGATGAAGCCATTTTGAAACCCAGGAGTCACCCAAGTGCCACCAAGCCTTTCCTCTTCCCAGCCAGCATGCCTGTGTTTTCCATATGCCCGGTTGTTTTCCTCTGGCCCCCGATCAACTTCAATGGCCACCTCCATTGGGGGTCCCTCTCTGTCCTTTGCCACAGCAGAGTGAGAGAGGAAGAACAGAGATATGGGATATGGACTCACCTCTCCAACAGCCCCTGTACACTACATCACGCCTCATTGGCAACCACCCTTCCCCATCACTGCCTCCAAACTGAAATTTTTTTTTTTTGTCTCACTTTCTGTTAATTTTTAGTATATCAATACTTTTTTCACTTGTCAAAAAATTTTTTTAATCAAAAAATAAAATATTTTTGGGGCGCCTGGGTAGCTTAGTCGGTTAAGCGTCCAACTTTCGCTTAGGTCATGATCTCGCGGTTGGTGGGTTCGCGCCCCGCATCAGGCTCTGTGCTGACTGCCAGCTCAGAGCCTGGAGCCTGTTTCAGTCTGTGACTCCCTCTCTCTCTGACCCTCCCTTGCTCACGCTGTCTCTCTCTCTCTCTCCTAGAAATAAATTTAAAAAAAATTAAAAATAAATAAAATATTTTTATTTTTAAATAAAAAAAGAGAGAAATATCGTTTTTGTTTTTGTTTTTAGTAATCTATGCACCCAGCATGGGGTTGGAACTCACAACCTGAGGTCAAGAGTTGTGTGCTCTTCTGATTGAGCCCACCAGGTGCCCTTGAAATGTATTTAAGTATCTGCCTACTACCATCTTACACACAGTAAGATAATATACATATACAATTCTATTTTCATATACAATATCTATTTGTACCTTATCCCGGTTCTATGAGGTTCTATCATTATTCCTATCTTATTATCCCATCTTATTATTTTTTTAAGTCTATTTATTTGAGAGAGAGAAAGAGAGAGCATGTACATGAGCAGGGGAGGGACGGAGAGAGAGGGAGAGACATAGAGAATCCCAAGCAGGCTCTGTGCTGTCAGTGCAGAGCCCAACTCGGGGCTCAAACTCACGAACCGTGAGATCATGACCTGAGCAGAAACCAAGAGTTGCACACTTAACTGACTGAGGCACTCAGGTGCCCCATCATTATTCCCATTTTAGAGGTAAGAAGAATGACGCTCAAGGTCATGGCCAGTAAGCGATGGGAGGCAGTTTGAAGATTCTGAGTCTTTCTATACTACTATTCATTTCCGGGGAACACCCATCAAAATGACACTATTTGACCTAGTTGATGACTCCCTCTGTGAAACACTCAGTTCATGACTCTACACCCCCCTAAATTTCTTCTGACCTTACTGGTGGCCCTTTCTCAGCCTCCCTTATTTATATTCCTTCCTCCACCTTCTCTCTGGGTCAGTGTTTCCCAAGGGCTCCCTTCTGCATCTCATTTTCCTCTCTACCTTCTCCCCATAGGCGACATTTTAGGTTTAGGTTTCCATAGCTTTACATACCAGCTATGCTGAGGATTCTCCTGATTTTTTAAGTAAATCTCCAAGACTGCTCAGTGCACCTCCGACCCCTGTATCTGACCACACACTTGACGTTTCTACCCAAGGATCTCACATACATCCTAAATTTAACATGTTCCAAAGTGGACCATTAACCACCACCCTCCCCCGCAAGCCTGTGTATACCCTGTCCCATTTTTCCCATCTCAAGAAATGGTACCACCCAGGAGTCATCCTTGATTCTTTCTTTCCATCCACCCAAATTAGTGAGTGCTGTGGATCTATCTCCACAAATACGTCCCAGCCCTCCTCTTTTCTGTCTTCACGGTCCCCCACCCTGGCCCAGGTCATCCTCATCTCTCAGGAGGCCACCACCGCCTCACTGCTTCAGAGAACTGAGACGACCTGCCGTCACGTAATTTAACTAAGGCTGCCTACATCGGCATGACTTTAATATTTGTTCCAGAAATTTCTTGCCCAGGAAGATAAGCCCGTAAACCAGTAAATAATTTTATTATTTGCTCCAGGAACTTCCTGAAAATCAATTTATCTGAACAATAGACTGCTCAAACAGCCCCCTTCTCGGGACAATCGTTTGCTTAACCTGGCAAACCACTAGCTTATCAAACAATTGTTTATTTTTCAAGACCCTCCCTTCGCTGTATCCTCCAATCCTGAACTGTTATCTTACAAACTTGGCCCAATCCCAGTCAGATCTCCATATTGAAAGATCTGCCTTTACCCAGACTTCAAGCCCTATAAATATCTCTTTACCTGGAAAGCACTTCCGCAAACACTGCTCTTCCCAGGGCAGCCTCCCTTTCATCCTCTGGTCTCAACATAAATGTTCCTTTCTTTATCTTCCCTTCCCCACCCCACCCCCCATCCCTCAACATCACTGTCCACACTTTATTCTCCTGCTCACGGCCCATTTGCCTCCTTCACAGCACTCACCACAATTGGTACTTATTTTATCTGTTTTCTGGTTTTTTGTGCCTTTTTTCTTTTCTTCCTGTTTCCCTTCTAGACTGTGGGCTCTGTGAGGGAAGAACCTTGTCTGCTCTATTTTCCATTTAATTTCCAGAACCCCTTGTAGATGCTCAAAACATATTTGCTGAAGGAATGGGTTTGGCTCCAGCAAGTGTGATCTCCAATCCACTTCACGTGGCTGCCAAGCCCTCCTGTGGTGGGGGCTATGGTGCCTGGGGGTGCTGGGGTTCCCCACTGCTCCCTTTAACCTCCAAGGTTAGAGACAAAGGGGCCAATGCAAATGCCCATGGGAGAAAGAGTAAGAGGATTAAATTCACAGAAGGGTGTGAATTGCTTTCCTCAGTGTTACAGGAGCAGGTGAGGGGGAGAAAGCTCCAGAGAGAAAGTGAGCTGAGGAGGTAGAAGAAGGAAAGAGCAGTGAAATCTCTGTCTCTTTGCCTCAGGTCTTTCCTGCTTTTCCCTAGGCCGCCAGCGCCTAACATTTTCCATTTTCTCTGTGAAGAGGAGGGTGCTTGTCAGTTGGGTCAGCTCAGGGTAGAGGCCCAGCCTAGTAGAGTTTGTCTGGGTGCCAAATCTTCTCCTACTGAGGAAGTGCTTTTCTTTTCTTTTCTTTTTTAAGCTTATTTATTTGGGGGGGGGGGGGTAGGGGGCTGAGAGAAAAGGAGAGAGAGGGAATCCCAACAAGGATTCCCACTAGTAGTGCAGAGCCTGATATGGGGCTTGAACTCACCAACAACAGTGAGATCATGACTTCAGCTGAAACAAGAGTCCACACTTAACGGACCAAGCCTCCCAGGCAACCTGAGGAAATGTTTTTCTGGAGATGCTTACAGCCAGACTTGACAGTCAGAAGCTCTGAGCTCAGATGGCCTTTGTGAATGTTCCAGGAGCCACATTTCAGAGTTGGGTACTCCCTTCCAGCTTGGTGGGCCTCTACTCAGTTCTACTTGAATTTCGCCCAGAGAGTCCCACGTGGATGTGGAAGCAAATCAAGAAGATAACGGGTTGATCTACAGAATGTGAATCATTTGCCTATCAGAATCTGAAAATATAAAATCTTGAAGGATCCAG